GCTACAAAGTTTATTTTGTATACTGATGACTCAATCCCTTGTGGCAGGTGGTAGAGTGAGGTTCCCTTGTGGGCCCCTCTGGTACCCAAAGCACAAAATGGTTCTATCCTGACTGACAAGTGCAGGCCACAGGTCCAAGAAGCCAAGGTGTTTTTTTAACAGAAGTTTGATCACCTAAGTGATCAAACTCTCCAGATACAGTATCATATGTACTATACTTGATTAAATGACATTTATGATATCGAGTAGCCAATTGTTAACCCCATTAAACTGTACCAAGAACAAGATAGATAAGCAAATGGAGAATTTAATGGACATTACTCCAGCTTGCACCAGGACAAATGCGTGCACTTATGCGCATACAAAGAGGACGGGGGAGAAACAGAGTTCAATAACCTGCAGGAGAGCCTCGAGTTTGTTTTCTGAACCAGAAAGTTTGATGAAGTCATGTCGTGCAGTTGCAATTCTCTTTTGAAAGGTTGATGTCCGTAAGTGCTCAATACCTTCGAACTCCTCATCAATCAGCTTTTGTACTCCCTGAAGTAGAAGGGTGGTCAATAAAGGATATTAAATGTTCACAAATCATGCATAGGAAAATACTAAGGCCTTGAGCATCTGTAATATATAATCTGGAATAGCTGAGAAGATGGTTCTTGAGAAAAATAGGAGAAGTTTGTTTTAGAATACTACATGCAAGATCTTTGAAGGTAAGACAACAGCATATCATTTATTTATTAAGATAGATAGGATTTGCTGGACGCCTGATTAGAATAATACCTTGGTCATGGTAGCAGACACCAATATGGTTTGGAACCCTTGATCACCAGGCTTTGAAGCACGATTCTTCAAAGGAGCAAGAAACTTCCGTATGTCTTCTCCAAACCCTTGGTCAAACATTGTATCTGCCTCATCCAGAACCTGCAATGCAGATAAATGAAACTCATTCCAAGTGATAAACTATGGCATCAGCAAAAAAAATGCAGGGTAGTAATTCTTTGCCCATAACTCAGGAACACACCAGATATTTAATATCGCCGTAAACGATATTGCCCTCCTTTATATGATCAAGGATCCTTCCAGGTGTCCCAACAACCATGTCAACAGGCATGTTCAAAGAATCTTCCTGGGGTTTTAGACGGGTGCCTCCACTAACCATCGTTGACCGAAAACGTGCATGATGACTTATGGACTTTGCAACACGGAAGACCTGTCATTTGAGATTATCACATAAACGACAGTCAATAACACAGATATCAAATCATAGTTCAAAATAATAATATTTTGAAAGTGCTGCTTACCTGCTCGGTCAGCTCTCTTGTTGGGCATAAAACTACAGCTCTTGGCCGCCTTGGCTTCATTGACATACCCAGTGTCGCTTCATCATGACGCAGTAGCTACATAAATCACAGACCTACCATGGTTACTGAACCTTCTGGTTAGAACTTAGAAAGAATATCTTAATTCACAGACCATAATCGGTTGAAGATGTACGCAAATTTAAATATGGTGAGAGAAAACGCTCATTTCGCCTGATTGGACTCTACCATTCCTTTATTTTTTTTATGAAAAATAGATCCAGGGCATGAGCCTGACTGCCAAAGGAGGAGGGGGTCTATGCAAGACTAAGCTAGACAGAGTCTCATTTCACAACTACCGCGAGATGCAGAGAGACCCACAGGGTTTTAAATATCCCTGAACCCCCGGCAACTTCCTATATATGACTAATCGATTTTTTTTCTCTAAATCTTTAATTTTACCTAAACTTTATTGGAATTATTACAGGTTTTAGCTTAAACCATCTGTCTCATCCAGTTACTATTCTTAAACAACACCTTCCTTTTCTTTCGAGACCTCTCAGCTAATTAGCCCCACTTGCACCCTAATCAAACACTAAACTCTTTCACTCTTGTAATGGTGTCTAATACTAAGCAGCGAGCATGAACGTTACATTGGCCCTCCTCTGTAATTTGGACGGTGCGCTATCACTGGCTTGAAATAAGCCTCTCTGATATGAGTTACTTCCTCCTTCCATCTATATAGGGCCTAATGTGTTTTTCAAGATAGCCTTTGACTATTGACAAGATTAATAGCACATGAGATGTATACTATGAAAATTATATTATTGGAAGCTCCTTTGACATACAAATTTGAAGGTATGCTTTGTGTAAGTTGCATGTCATATATTATTGCTTTAACGTTTGGTCAAAGTTAGCCTCGAAAAACGCATTAGGACCTATATAGATGGAAGGAGGGAGTATGCATAGTTCTCTTACTCGATCATGAAATTATGACACGCTCTATGAATTGTTTTGCTCTCGCTTGGAAATGGAACAAAATGCACCGGGTTCACTAGACATATGCCGCAATATTGCCCCTTACAACGCGGTTTTTTGTTCTAGTTATTAGTAACATCGGTGCAAATATACCTGCAGGCACATATCTCGCTAATGTGAAAAGATGGGTCGGTCCAAGTACCTGAACGAGAGGCAGCAAGTAGGCGAGCGTCTTCCCAGAGCCGGTGTGCGAGCCAAGGACGACACTGGTGCCGGAGAGCACGGCGGGCACGCCGACGCACTGGATCTCGGTGGGCTTGGTGATGCCGGCCTCCCGCATCGCGGCCAGCACCTCCTCCTCGAGCCCGAGCTCCTCGAAGCTCTCCACCTCGACGCTCCTCTGCTGCTGCTGCTGCGGCGAGCCCCTCTCCCCGCCCCTGGCCCTCTCCCTCAGCGGCTTCGGGGGGCCGGGGGGCGAAGAGTCCTTCAGGTGGCGGAGGCGGAGGCGCTCGAGGAGGAGCTCGTGGCGGGGAGGGGGCGCGGGGGCGGCGAGGGCGGGCGAGGAAGGGGGGACGGCGGTGGAGAGGGCGGCGCGGAGCACGCGGAGGCGGAGAGGGGAGGGGCGGGAGAGGAGCAGGCACCGCCCGGCGGCGGCCATCGCCATTGCGGTGGCGAGGGTTTAGATTGGAGGGGTTTTGCGAGAGGAGTGGGAGGGCGAGGGGAAGGGAAGGGGAGGTCGCGGCGGATAAGGAGCGCAAGCGCAGTGCGAGGTGACCCACTCCTGAGAATTGACCTCCTCCTCAGCTTCTCCCAGAATTGCCACTTAATATTTTTTTACAATTCCTAGCTAGTTAAGGTCTAATTAGCTAGGAATTGTAAAAAAATATTAAGTGGCAATTCTAGGAGAAGCTGGGGAGGGGGTCAATTCTGGGAGAATTGCCCAAAAGAACTGGACTGAAGCAGTCTGCGGTGGGCCGGCGGCTGAGCGCCAAGCGGGTTTGCTGCTGATGAACGAAGGGTGTCGTCCGCCGCTGCCTCGACGTTTTTCACTACCACCAGTCCCGGTAAATCGAACCCCTAGAGTTTAGGGCAACTTCAATGTCGATCAACAAACCTTCCACAAATGTTTGGATTCGACGGTTCAAATATTTTGAACAACGTTAATTAAATTTGTCCGAATCAAAGTCTGAAATCCATCAAACCGGCACTAGACAAAAGGATTTGCGGGCGTTTGGACATCCGCCATGTAGAACTCACATAATAAGAACCTATCCAAAACCAAGACGAAGCTTGCGCATTTGGACAATCTCATCATTGTTTTCACATGAAAGTCCTCCCTTTCCCACTGCCTCGGCCCCGATCGCTGTCGACCACTACTATTCCGACCCGATCCGTCATTTGGCCTTCGGCAAGATCCGATCTGCGGAACGCAACGACCAACACATCAAGGCGAAGGAGAGGGCGAGAAGACGATGGTCGGTCAGGACGGAGTGCGTAAGCCAAAGCACAAAGTCAGGTCGGTGCCACCCGGGCAATCGTAATCCCGGTCCACCCCAGCTGAAGGCGTCCTACTAGTACGCCGCCCATCAGCTTGGTCTAGCCCGACACGCAGCAGCAGCCCATCCCAGCCTCCTTCACCTCCAACCATTCAGTGATGTTCAATGTTGACCTCAACACCGATTACGTGTTCACGGAGTCGTCGACGCTTGTTCGATCAAGGATGTCGACTGCGGAGCTCTCGTCCGTCGGTGTCCGTCACTTCAGAATGTCTCAACCAAGCGCGATGACAGTAAAACGAGCAGTAGATGATGAACATGGTCCGCGGCGGAGGTGGCCATAAAGACAGACAAGTGGATGACTCCCAACCTGAGGAACAGCCACAACCAGACACCCAATAGATGAACATGGATCCCGACGACTACTGGTCGTCGGGTGCCAACCCAAATAAGAAGAGGGGACATAATTTCTCCATCGAGGATAATGAATTGTTGTGCGAGGCGTGAGTGGCCACTAGTATTGATATGTTTCATGGCATTTATAGAGACATTAAAACTGCACACTTTCCCGGTTCTCTCAGGCCATTAACGTTCCCTGTCGTCTGATCATCAAATTTGTGAAAGATCGATTGTAACAACAAGAGAGTCGGACAAATGAATCGGGGTCATCTTTATTGATGATGAATACATCTATATATAGGGTTACAAAAGACACCAAGTGAAAAGGTGTCTGTTTGAGGAGGCGCTAGGAACCGATGTCGGTTTCCATATGGCAACCGCCATCTATTCCTTAAGCATGGATTAATGTGATCAATTAAATCCTAACACTCCCCCTAATCTATGCTTGTTAGTGCAATATCATCATCTTCATTAGAGACTCCTCCAAAACCCTGTGGGAAAATGAGGAGTATATTGTTTGATATGTTGCTAAAACTCCTTCAAACCCAGTGGGAAAATAAGGAGAAAATGATGCAACATATAATGATTATTGCCTCTTTTAACTCAATATGAGAAAACCCATAGAGTTCAGAGGGCAATAAATATGTCGTATATACTTTTCCAAAAACCCCGGTGGGAAAAACAGAAAGTATAACATATGATCTCATGTTGATATTACCTCATTAAAAACCTTTATGAGAACCTGTATAGTAAACTCATGAAGGGAAAAAAGTATAATATGATGCATTGAACAGGAACAATTTAGGAAGATACTCCCCCCGACTCTTCCAAATTCCAAAACCGTCACATACCAATTCCATGAACATGTTTCTGGAATGTAAAAATTGGTAGAGACTTGGTGAACAAATCAGTAGCACGATTTAACTTGCAAGATATGCAATGTAGTGATATTGCTTATTATATAACCTGTTTGCATCCGGGCAATACAAGAAAAATTATCATTGAGATAATGGTTGGTGGATGTAGCCATGAGGTTTGTTTCGAAGACTCTTCATGAGAGGGCTACCACACCTAGTAGGAACACTAAGCTTGTCTACAATCTGACATAGTGGGGATCTGATCGATGCATCCAATGATATCGGTGTTCACATTTCTGTGAAACTGAAAAAACAGGACAAGATGTTTGATGCCTTGGAGATATCAAAAGATATTCTTGAGTACCAACCAATTGTGTTTGGTCGATCCAATGGCATTATGGAACGTTGAGTACCAGTATCTCATTTCCATCATCTCTTGGTCTAAATAGATCTTTCTCTACGTCTAGAAAATGAACTACCATAAGAGTTATGGATGGATAAGATTTGTCCACGATGAATTTCTCCAATATATTATGGATATAGACAACATAGTATACCATAATGTATGAATGAAGGTGCTCAATTTGTAGTCATGAGCGATGTTTTGGTTTACCCAAATCCTTCATTTTAAACTCCGTCATTTAGATGATTGCATGTGTCGTCATTGCAGACACACAAACATGGATAATCATCATTGTAGGAGTAATCCTTGTGTATAAGGAACTCACTACGTCAGTTGTACCAAATGTACCAACAACAATAAGCCATATGGTGACTTATTGATTTTACACAATGTATGTTACGTATTGCATTTCGATTCAGAAGTGAGATTTCATTGGGAATCAACCATATATGTCTGAATCTAGTGATCCACATGGATATGTGATCACTACATTTATCAACTGTAGAGATAGATGATTTTTGTACAGCCAATGATATAAGTTATCGGAAAGAGATTCCACCTCTGGAGAATAGTTGGGTATCTGTGTGAACCCTTGTGCTACAATACTTGCTCTTTGTTTCGCCACCTTGTTGTTCTCAATTCCGTTTCTAGAAGAAAACTGGTGTAGGTAGTGCTTATGAATACCTTCTTATTATTGAGCAAGATTACTTCTACCTAGATTATACCCTTTGCTTGAGTTTAGTCCGAGTGTTGTTCACACTTTGCCATGGCCATGGTCTTCGGATCTGAATCACTCGAAAGGTTTTTTCAATCTAGTTGAGAAATGTATGTCGACAATTGTAGACTTTTGGTTATATGTTTCTCCAGAATCTATAGATCAATATATAGTTGATGGAAATATCATTACCCATAGTGACTGCTCGCGATTTCCCAATGCGATTGAGTCGGGTATTCCGATGTCCCGGTCATTGTATGCACTATGACCTGGGTTGGTGGAGGTTTCCCATCCACTGGGTGTATACTACCCATTAGGTGTCTGTCAATGTGAAGTTGACTTGCATTTACTGATTCATAGGCCTTGATATTCTTGCTTGCGAGAAGCTAAATCCTGATGTACTTCTGCCATACATCTCCTCCCGTTGCTTTGAACGGGGAGTGGAGTGGATTTTGTTGGTAGCTCCACTCTTTCAGGTATACTTTTACAAGATTGTAGGATTGTGTGACACCTTTATATATCAATAAATGAATCTGGCAGGTTATTTGCAATATCTTGCAAACCTTCTGAATGCATGGTTCAGATCTTTGAGTACGTGGATTTGAGGCAGAAATGTGTTGAACATTCCACTAATTCCCTGGCATTCTTTATGGTACTTGAAATCTCCCCCTAATGCCTGAAAATGTTCCTCATTGAATCAGCATACTGACCTTGAACAACTCCCCATGTGAGGGGCTTGAGGTATTGACGGAAATACAGTTATTCCTCACATAGATCCCAACTATATGATGAGGGGCCAATGATGTATGCCGGGGTGGTGATATCGGTATGCAACCGAATTACTGTAGATAGGAAATATTTGGTAGATATCTACATATCAAAGATAGAGGGGAATAATATTCTGCAGTACTGTCATGAGCGTGTAAAACTACATGACTCCAACGTAAAGTTGGTAAGTTGTAATTCCAGAGTAAAGATCATGCAATGAGCTTAATTCTTTAGATATAGGATTCTACCAAACCATTTTGAGTCTAGACATTATGACAAATTGCTAAAATTCAATCCAAGGGCCAAGAGAAGGCACTCAAGAAGAGTTCTGCAATGTTATCCATTTGATTTGCTTGAAATCGATGTCAGGATAATGAGCCAATGGTTTCATGTGGAAAACCACACTTGGGACCATCATATAGATGTCTCTTTTAGAACCATGAAACACCTGAATAGTCTAGTCAATGGATGGGAAGAGCCACTTACCTCAACTTGATGCATTCAAGGAGTCTGAGTGGTTCAACGTAGATTTTAAGTTGCACGAGCCTTAAAATTAGCTTCCATGTGTCACGTGTATTGCACACAAAATTCAAATATTGTTAGAGTATAGCATCATAATAATCATAAACTATTGGAATTGCTGATAGTTTCGGTTTCAACCCAATGTCTCGATGACCAAAGCGAGTATGCCAAGTTTGTCATGTACAAGACACTCTGGAAAACTATCTCGTATGGAACTTGTGCTACGGGTTGAGTCGTATGTGTAGTACAATCCAGATGATACACGAAGAATGTGCTTGCCATATCCGTTGCATATGGTAAAGAGAAGTTATTTCTCTTTGTTGTCTTCATAAGTTTTGCTATGAAAACTATTTTGATGGATACCTCCATAGTTTAGTAGGGTACGAGTTAAACTTGGGAAGCAATAAAGCATCCCGACATTACTCGAGTACCCACAGGGATAGTAAATATGACTCGAGTTGAGCCAGCAAATACCTTATCGCGTCTAGCTTTTAAAATATCTCC